ACACTTGATCCTCCCCATGCTCTTCCCCGATCTCTCTGCTTTCCCCATTGTCGCTGATCTCGCCACTCACCTCCGTGCACTAGAGACTAGCTACCGCGCTGCTAGCACTACTGCCCAGCTCACTACCTTCCCCCCACCGTTCTACGCTACCCTGTACCTTATTGCCATGCGCCTGCCTGACCGAATAGCCGCTGCTCGCGACCACTTCCGTAGCCAGCACCCTGGTGACCTCGCCCTGACCGCTTTTGTCGTTGCCCTTTCTGAAATAGAGACTCGCCAACGCACTATCTCTCAGTCGAGCGGTGTTGCGGCGGTCCCTATCTTTAAGGGCTGTGCTCCCTCCCAGTGCACGTACGCTGACGTGTTCACTACCGTCGCTACAGCTGCTCCTGCCGCCGAGACCGCAGCGGCGGCCTTCCCATAGTAGCAGCGACAACGTCGGGGCCGTCTCGGCCCCAAGGGAGGGCATGATGGTGGTGGTGGCGGCGACAGTGGTTCTGTCAAGGGGGCTGGGGCAGGTGTCAAGGAGTAGCAGCAGCCGCAGCAGTCGCAGCAGCCACAGTAGCAACAGCAGTAGCAGCAGCAACAACAGCAGCAGCACCAGCAACAAACAGCAGCAGCAGCAGCACCAACACCAGCCGCAGCAGCAGGTGTGGGCCCGCCTCCCGCCGGGGTGGCCGGGAGCCCCTGGAGGTGGTGGCCAAGGTGGCGGTCCACGAAGCTCGGCGTCTAATGGCGGCTTCGGAGCTATGGGCTGCCAGTACCAGCTCCAGACCGGGCCCCTCCGTGGCACGGTGTGCTGCCGCCCACACCCGACTGCCCGCTGCTTCCGCCGCCTCAACGACACCTTTCGTCGCCGCTTCGGCCCGGCCCCAGACCTCCCTGATTGGCCCAGTCTGATGCATCACAGTGTGCCTGTTTTTGACTCAGACATGGATCAGATTAGTTCTGCCTTACATTCTCTGTATGCTGACGCTTCTAGTGTGTCCGGATCTTATTACCATGTGTTCTCTAGGCTAGGCGTCGCACATGTGTATAGTACAGACACCCCTGCTGCATTAGGCGTAGGACCATTTGCTTTCTAGGTGCCCCACTCGCTCCTCCTTCGTCTGCCGCTACTGCTTCGTTGTACTTCACCCTTGACTCCGGTGCATCAGCCAGCTTCTTCCACGACCACGCCACACTCACGCCGCTCGCCATGCCTGCTGCTGTCGCACTTGCTGACCCCTCTTCTGGGCCAGTCGTTGCTCGCAGCTACACTACCCTTCCCTGTCTAGAGGTCCCATCGGGTTCCCTTACAGGCCTGCACATCCCTTTGTTCTCCAGGAACTAAGTTGGTGTCGGCTGTTTTCAGGACCTCGGCGTCACCACTACTTTCCTGGTCACGAGCGGTACGCTGTCTGTACCGAGGCCACCTCAGGTTCCCCCCTTGCGACGTTCCCCCAGGACCCAGTATCTGGCCTGTTTACGCTAGACACTGCTTCCCCCCCAGTTGGCACGTTCTCCCTGGCCCCTGCGACTTCCCAAGTCGCTACGCCTTGCTCGTGTCGGTCGCTCACTCACCCGTCGCTTCTGTGGCACCACCGCCTAGGTCACCCTGCACTCCTACGCCTGCGTCACATGTCTTCGCTACGCCGCTCACCAGCTTAACCTCTGGCCGCGCTCCCAGCGGCCGCAAGTTTTGCCGACCCTTCTTTGGACCGTGTTCCCTGGTGACCCGTCCGAGTTCCACGTCTGGGGCTGCCTCGCTCACGTTTGTGCCTCTTGCACGGACAAGCTCACTGCCCGCACTATCCCCTGTATCTTCCTCGGTTTCCCCCTGGACTCGTCTGTTTACACTTTTACCACCTACCGTCTCACGGCTTCTTTCACTTTCGTGACGCCACTTTCGACGAGTCTGTCTCCTTTTACCACCGCATTCTCTACTGAGGTCTCCCGGTTTCCCCTCTCTTGTTTGTGGTCCCCACTTCCCTAGTAGCCCCTGCTCACCTTCCTCCCCATCCTGCTCCATCTGGTGTTTCTCACGTCACTCTCCTCCCGTCGGTTGTCCCGGTCGGGGAGTTGGCTAACTCTGGTGGACCTGTGACGCAGTTCTCGCCGCCTGTCCCTCCCCTGGTGTCTCCTCCTCCATCGTCCCAGTCGCCGCCGCCACAGCAGCCATTGCTGCCGCCGCAGCCACCGCCTCCGTTGCAGTAGCTGCCGCCGTCGCAGCAGTAGTAATCGTTCCTGGACTCTGGGGGTGCTGGCGTTGAGGAGGGTGCTAGTCCTGGGGTTCCTGTCATGGCTTGTCCCGGCGGACTCGGGGATGGCGCCGGTGCTGGAGAGGGTTGTTACTCTGAGGGTGCTCGTTCTAGGCGCGCTGGAGTGGAGTGTTCCGGAGGTAGTCGCGGTGCAGCTGGCGGTCCAGGTGTGGGCGTCAAGTAGCAGCACTAGCAGTCGCCGCCGGTGTCCGCCCTTTGCCTGCTCGGCCTTCCCTTCCGGATTGCTCTCCTGTGCCTCCCCCCCCGCCTCCTCCCCTTCCTGTCCATGGTCCTATGTTTCCTCCGCCGGACTCGTCCCTGGCCCGTTTCCCACCTCGGTCCCCTCCTGTTACTCCTCCTCTGTCTCCTCACCCGACACCTCCGTCTCACGTCTACTCTCGCCGTCCCTCTCAGGCTCGTCCTGTCTCTCCTGTTCAACATTCTCACCATATGTTGCTTCGTTCCCACTCGTCTCCTCCTCCCCTCCTGCCTTCCCCTCCTCCGTCATCGCTCGCTGTCGCGCTTCCCCCTCTGTCTCACTACCTTTGCGCTGCTCGTCCTCTATTTCCTCGAGTCTTTGCCTCCCTCGTTACCGATCCGTCTGTTCCTGTCTCGAGTCTTGACGCTCTTGTCGCTGCTAAAGCTGACTTTGCCTCTACCCGCCGCCTTGACTACGCTACCGCTCAGGTCTCTTACCCTGTCCGTCCTCTGTCCGTCGGGGGTGCTCGTGCCCTTGGCAGTAACGTCCTAGAGGACAGGCAGTACGAGCTGGCTTTCCTGTCCGAGGCTGCCCCCCATCTCTGTTCCATGCTGCTAGTTCCTGAGGGTGACCCAGATGCCTTTGACATCCCGACCCCTCGCACTTACGCTGAGGTGACCTCAGGACCCTGGGCCTCTCAGTGGATAGCTGCCATGGAGCAAGAGATGGCATCTTGGAGATCCACCAGCACCTGCGTCGACGTTATTCCCTCACCTGGGGTGAATGTAGTCGACGGCTGATGGCTCTTCAAGGTGAAGCGCCCCCCTGGAGAGCTGCCTGTATTCAAGGCGTGCTACGTGGCTAGAGGTTTCAGTCAGCGAAAGGGGGTGGATTTTTTCCATACCTTCGCCCCGACCCCGAAGATGACTACTCTTCGGGCGCTGCTACACGTAGGAGCACAGCGTGACTACGAGATCCACTCTCTAGACTTCTCCACTGCTTTTCTTCAGGGCAGCCTACACGAGCAGGTCTACCTGCGCCGATTGCAGGGCTTCACTGGTTCCTTCCCTCCTGGGACCCAGTGCCTCCTCCGGCGCCCGGTCTTCGGCCTGCGGCAGGCGCCCCGTGAGTGGCACAACACGCTGCGTGCTATGCTAGCTGACATGCAGTTCTTTCCGTCATCTGCAGACCCCTCGCTCTTCGTTCGTGCTCGCCAGACTCTGTTCTAATCCTTGTCTACATAGACGACCTGGTCTTCACTACTGCAGACAGAGACGCGCTGGCCTCCGTGAAGGCCGAGCTGCTGAGGAGACACAGACGCACTGACCTAGGAGAGCTGCTCCGCTACCTTGGCCTTCACATCTCCAGGGACAGAGCAGCGCGCACCATCACTCTTACACAGTTACACTTGGTGCGCCTGGTCCTTCAGTGGTTCGGTCTTCAGTTCTCCTCCGCACTGCCCACACCTCTGCTAGTAGACCACAGGCTCTCGGCCCCAGTTCTTGAGGAGTCAGTAGAGCCTTGTGGTCCTTACGCAGAGCTGGTGGGTTGCCTCATGTACCTGATGACTTGCACTAGTCCCGATCTCGCATACCCTCTCAGTATCCTGGCTCGCTTTGTGGCCACAGGCAGACATCGACCACATCACTGGTCACCTGCCTATAGGGTTTTGCGTTATCTAGCGAGTACATCGGGCATAGGGCTAGTGCTAGGAGGACACAGGCCGACGACGCTGAGACCGTCAGGTCCTCCTAGGGCTACTGCTTCAGCCTTGGTTCGGGTGCCATCTCGTGGAGGTCCACTCGCTCCTTGTCTGTTGCCCAGTCTAGTTGTGAGGCTGAGATCTACGCCGGTGCCATGGCGGTACTGGAACTCCGATGGCTGATGTTCTTGCTTAACGACTTAGGTGAGCGGCCTAGCTCTGCCCCGGTCCTGTACGCTGACAACAGGGCCATGAACCTCTTGTGTCAGGAGCCTCGACTTGAGGGCAGAGAGAAGCACATCCAGCTGCGGTACTTCCTCCTGCGTGAGCTACAGCAGGGCCGCCAGACCCACGTCGTACACTTGGCCTCCGGTGCCAACACAGCTGATATCTTTACTAAGGCACTTGTGCCTAAAGATCATCAGCGTCACTGTTTGCAGCTTGGTCTAGTTCCTCTAGACTCTCACTTGCTAGGACCTTGATTGTGTACTCCTCTGTATATATATCTTTCGGACTGGCCTTGTGGCTCCTCTTCCAGTGGCCGGACTAATAGTGCCGCCCAAGTTTGCTTCTGTCTTGTTTGTACTCGCTGACTGGTCTTCGGACCCCTGGCTGTGAGGTTGGCCTAGTAGTGCCACCCTGAGCTGTATGCTTCTTGCTCGGCACTACCCCTTGTCTAGCCTAGGGGGTGTGTCAACTTATACATATATTTGCATGTAGAAGTTGTAGGCTAGAATAGGTGTATGTTCTTAGAGAATACAACCCAACCCTTAATCTTGCTTGTTCTTTCTTGTTTCTAATCATTCCAGTATTCCAACACTTACCTAGTCTAGTACCATCTCAGAATAGCGCATTGAGTAGAACAAGGGATGCAAGGGAACTGGTTGGATGTTGTATTCTCTAAGATCACGAACCCTTCTAGCCTATAACTGCTCCATATACAATATATGTATAAGTTGACATAAGAGACCCCATTGGGTGAACCCTCGGCACAGTCCCCTCTTCCTGTTTGTCCATCCACATCCTGCCGATATTTCTTTGGTCGGCATTACTTTTGGCAACTAGCTCGCGGGCCCAGTGCCGCTTACAGTAATTTGCTGCTTGGCTTGTTCTTAGTATGAGTGAGTGGCTATTACCTATTCGTCCAGCTTCCCCTTCCCTACCCACCCTACAATTCCAGGACCAAGACCATTCACCACCCTAGCTCCTTCGCACATTGCGCGCTCCCACATCAACCCCTTTCCACTTCCCCCTCGCCCGGCTGACTGGTAGTCTTCACAGAACGCACACGTCTCCTCCGCCTCCCACCCCCCTCTGCCCCAACAACCTCCACTTTCTCTCCTGAAACTGTTTCTGCCGTTGTTTCTGCTGCTGCTCCAGCTGCTGGCGCCACGGCTGCGGCTGCAACGAGATTTGAGTGGGAGGCTGAAGGGGCGGCAGCAGCGGGGGGTGTGGGTGAGGTGCCAGACGGCAGTGGGGAGGAGAGTGGTGGTGGGGAGGTGGGTGCATGAGGGAGGGAGGTTGGTGGGGCATCTACCGAGGAGGGGCTCAGCGTCGTGGTGGGGGGAGATGGGAGGTCAGGGGCGGCAGAGTGAGAGGAGGATGGCGGGGGCGTGAGAGAGAGGTCAAGAGAGTAGGCGAGTGAGGGGATATATGTGCGCTTGGGTGTTGGCTTGAGCACAGCTTTGTAGAGCTGGCGACTCTCTTTCACCCCACACACAGTCTCCCGTGCACCCAGCCACTCCTCCCACACCTGTTGCTCTCCCCCACGCACACACAATCAGGACATGCACACACAACACACACGCAGAAGCACACGCGTGAGCATGTATACATTAGCATCCACATGCACACATGGCCATAAATATGAGTGTGTGCACCCGTGCATGCACACAACGGGGAACACACAGCAAACACACAGGCCCACCCACATGAAAAAAAGAGGAACAGCGTGCCCGGCGAGGTGGCAGGCGAGCAGGAATGGATTCTGAGTGTCCTTGCAGTAAGCACAGGTACCAACCAGGAAGGGGGCACTGCAGAATGGACAGGTGCACACCTATGGGGAAAGGGGGTGTGTGTGCGTGTATGTGAGTGAGTGTGAGTGAGTGAGAGCATGGGGCAGTACCTGCAGTTGTTGGGCGTGCAGGGCGAGCATGGTGGCGGGCATGTGGGCGGCGTGCGGCAGGAGCGCGTCCGCCAGCACGTGCAGGTCCTGCTGCTCGCCCAGAATGCTCTGCAGCCGCTTCACGCGCTGCAGCGCCGCCGGGAAACTACCGCCCACCATGTATGCGCCCTCCATTAGGTCCATGCGGTAGCGCAGCTCTGGGATGGCACCATCCACATGCACACATGCACACATGCACAAAGAAACATTCACGCACGCACGCACACCCACACACACATGCATACATGCACAAAGAAACATTCACGCATGCACACAAACACAGCATTTGACACGCATTAGCGTGGGGTCATGCAACTGCTGGGATGCGATAACTGGGACATGCAGAGATGCATGCCGGCTCTCAAGACGCGTGGGGAGAAAGATGGTGAGGGAGAAAGATGATGGGGGAGCAAAAAAGAGGCTGGCGGAAAGATAGAGAGGGAGCACGAAAGGGGGTGGAGGAAAAATGAAACGGGAGCAAGAAAGAGGGTGGAGGAAAAATAAAGAAGGAGCAAGAAAGAGGATGAAGGAAAAATCAGGAGGGAGCAAGAAAGGGGGTGGAGGAAAAATAAAGAGGGAGCAAGAAAGAGGCTTGCAGAAAGATAGCGAGGGAGAAAGAAAGGGGCTGGCGGAAAGATAGAGGGTGAGACATGGGCAGGGGATGGAGACTGAGAGGGCTTGCCTCTGAGCAGCTTGCGCAGAGCGTGCATGTGGTCCATGACCCCATGGCGGTACACCACGCTGTACCCCACACCACCGCCACTATTGCCACTGCTGCTTCCCTGCTGCTGCTTATGTGGTGCTTCCGGTTCATCCTCCCACGTCACCAGATCTACAACACACGGCAAGACGAATGTGGTGGTTAGGGGGGGAGAGCCGGCAGAAAGAAAGGAGTGCGGGCGGTGAAAACTAGGGAAGGAAAGGAGGGAGTGGAGAGATGAGGTGGAAAGAAACGCGTGGTCGTCGTGGAAAGGTGAGGGAAGCGATGCAGCACGGCGAGAAACGAGAGGTGGGAGCAAGGGAAGGGACGGCGACAGGAGAGGGGGTGGGGGCGGGGGGCTGACCATCAATGGACCAGGCGTGGTGCAGCAGAGCAGAAGCAATGTGGGGGGTGAGCAGGGAGGGCGCGGTGCGGGAGAGATGCTGCTGCAGCACCACGGCGGCAGCTGGCGACAGGGGCTTCACCCGCCCCACACTCCGCTGTTGCACCGAGAGAAAGAGGGGGGGGCGGGTGTAAGGGCGTGCACACAGGGAGTGGGGGTTGCTTTGGTAGGGTTGAGTGGAGGGCATGTAGGGCTAACGAAGTGGAGGGAGAGAAAGGGAGGGAGAGCAGGGGGAGCAGGGAGGGCAGGCCAAGTAGAGAAGGCGAGGCCGACGGGTTGAGCGGTTTAGATGCGAGGGTGTGGACGAGTGGGTGCACGCACTGGGCGACCAGCAGCATGGCATCGCTCCTCATCCCCGCTTCCACAGCACCATACCCCAGGAAGCTCCCCCCTGTGTGCAAACACCTCTGCCGCTCGCTCTGTCCCTGGGTGCAGCCCCCCTGCTTGCAGCCCCTGTACACACCCCCGAGCATGCATGAATCTACAAGCCACGCACGAGACGAGGCCCTCAGTGCACACCTTGAGCGCGTGCATGATGCGCGCGGCGCCCTTGGCGCCCGTGGCGTGCAGCGCGTCGTGCAGCAGCTGGCGCTGCCGCTTCCTCACGCCCTGCTCAAAGCGCCACACCGCGTGCTGCTCGCCCCCCCCCGCCTCCATGCCGCACGCCCCCACGCCCTGCTGCACCGCTGCCAGCGTCTCCTGCGGGGACAGGGGGGCGGGGAGTCGGGAGAGGGGAGAGGGGAGAGGGAGGGGGGAGAGGGGAGTGGGGAGAGGGAGGAGGGAGAGGGGAGAGGGAGGGGGGAGGGGAGAGGGGAGAGGGGAGAAGGGATAGGGGAGAGGGAAGAAGGGAGAGGGGAGAGGGGAGAGGGGAGAGGGGAGAGGGGAGAGGGGAGAGGGGAGAGGGGAGAGGGGAGAGGGGAGAGGGGAGAGGGGAGAGGGAAGAAGGGAGAGGGCAGAGGGGAGAGGGGAGAGGGAGGGGAGCGGGGAGAGGGGAGAGGGGAGATGGGAGAGGGGAGGGGGGAGATGGGAGAGAGGAGGGGAAGGCGAGGGTGGAGGAAAACAGGGGCTTTGGGTACAGGGGCTGCGTGGCATACATGTGCGTGGGATCCATGCACAGTAAACGGATGACACAGACGTGCACACGCTCAGTGCTCGCCATAAATCGCCATAAACCTCAGACCATGGCGCCCTTTGCCACCCCATTCCACTCCCCTCACCCTTCCCGCCAACCCCTCAGGGTGGGACGAGCCCCATGCCCCTAATAGAACCATTGCCCACCAGCATGACGTCAGCATCTCTGACTGCCCCCAGTGAGCGCAGCAGCTTCCCCAGTGCGCGCGGCCTGAGGGCATCAGGCACCTCTGGGGGGGATTGTGGGGGGGGTGGGAGGGGAGGGGGAGGGGGAGGGGGAGGGGTCACATGCAAGGTGGGCGGCAGGACAGGTTGAGGGACACACAGCTGTGAGTGGGCGGCTAGCTGGATGGCGCGTGGCATGGCAGCTGGCAGGTCAGGGGAAACAAATAGAGTGCAGCGAGGGAATGAGAATGAGAGAGTGCGTGAGTGTGTGAAAAAGTGGGATGATGAGGGGGGGGTTTAGCAAGGAGTGGAAGGTGAAGAGGGAGAGGGAAGGGAGAGCAGTGAGGGAGAGCGTACGGATGAAGGGGGCGAAGATGGAGAGTGTGGATCGCAGGCGGCGCACGGTCACCCTGAGGTCATGCACGGCCTCCACGTCCTGCCAGGCCGGGGTGCGCACACACGGAGAGGACAGAGCTTGCAGGGAGCACAGAGAGCACAGGAGAGCGTCGCAGTGTGCACGATGCATGGCGATTGTGAGCACGCGCCATGACGCATAGGCGCGGATGATGGAGGAAGGGAACAGCAACAAGAGACGACGTGCACATGCAGAGGCGATGGCCACGGACACATGGCCGGGCACGGGGACACATGGCCGGCACAGGGGCTGAGAAGGCGAGAGTAGGGAGCGGCATACGGGTTGGGATCGCAGGCGGTCCATGTCGTTGCAGCACGAGGCATGGGCGGCGGCGAGCGCAGCGCCTATGAGACCCTCCAGATTGCCGTCACCCGCCCCCTCGCCCTCACTGCTGCTGCCCTCTGACTCATCACTGTACTGGGAGCCCTGGGAGGGAGGCACCTGATGGAGGGGGCACGGCAGCAGCAGCGAGCAAGAGAAGCGGATGGATGTGATCAATGGTTCATACGTCGCTGCGCGCTCGTAACTCCGTCGCACGTGCATCGACGGACACCCCGTTCCTCCGAATGTCTCGCCCACTGCATGTGGCCCTAAAATCCAACCTGTTTTGCACCTCACCCTCCCCCACCGGGCCACCTACATGGCGCTTCTCCTTCGTCTCCGTCGTTCCCCGGGAATAACCGTCCGCTGATGCCGCTAGACGCACCGCGCCGCCACCCGGCACCGACCACACGCGTGTGCTGCGTCGCGCCGCCTCCCTCGCTCGCGACGCCGCCAAGTGGGACAACAGCACCGCGCCGCGTTGCGCGCTTGAGCGGCAGGAGGAACAAGCGGCTGGATTTCGAGCCGAGACGCAACGACGTGCTGGCAACAAGTGGCAACATGCGGGTGGTTGCAGAACAGTTCGATTCGGCCTCACTAGGCGGGCGAGCACAGCAGCCTCTGAGCATCTGGAACAGGCAGCCATGTCGGAAAGTAGGGAGAGCAGCAGGCGTTGGGTAGAAGGTTGCTTGCAAGAAGAGCAGTGCGAGTGTGCTCAAGGAGAATTTGCAGCCTTAGCATGGAATTCGCGTCGCGTAGTCGGTCCTTGGGAAGTCGTGCTCAGGGCGGGTCCAAATAGTTCACACTCTATCCATTTCGTGAAATGAAACCCGATTTTCACTAGTAACACCTTATTTCAGGTTTCATCAGGACACGAAAGAATCTGACCCGTAACGTGAGACACCCTTCACATGCGTCGGGTCATGTACCAGATTTCGGATTGGTAAACTTAAAAAAGCCGTGAGGTGCAAGATTTGGGGACGGGGTTCCAAGTGTGTCGCGCCTGGATTTCGCCTCGCTGGCTGTGGCGAAAACCAGGCGGCGTCGCGAATGCATCTGCGAGCGGGTGGCAGAACAAATTCGACGTCACTGGACGGCTACAGTATTTTCCGCCAGAAATTGTGCGCGTGACCAGCCTCGCCACTAGGCGCAAAATAGCAAAACCAGCCAGGTGGCAACTTTCGTCACCGGGCAGGGAAATCATATCGCACAGTATCGAGAGTGACGACACTAAAACGAAAACGAAAACGAGATGAAGTAAGAATTGTAGCGTAATAATAAACAATACAAAAGAGTAACATAAGAATCTAAAACATGGAAATAGAAGAACCAGCTCTAGGCGGCGGTTTCCACGCTTGGCAGTCGTGACATGTTCATAATTTGACTAATATAAAAACACAGAATGTGTTTCATTCAAGTACACTTCTAAATGTTGCGTACTTCGAGTTTGGGTTATTTCTGAGTAGTATACTAGCCAGGCCCCCAAATTGGTTTTGGGTCTGTCTGATTCGTCATAGTCCACTGCCTTCCCTTGGTATGGGTGTCAGAGTTGCCTCCTTGAAAAAGTCTGAAAAATCAGAGTAGCCTTCAATTTTTTGTGTGATCAATCAGAGTCATAGCCAAAGTTTTGTATGAGCCTTTTTTATTGTTCTTCATTAGAGAATGCACTACAATTCACTACATGCACAGAATCAATCAATATCCTGCATATCTTGCTGCGGTGCTGTCGGCATATCATTATCATAATCTACTTTCTCCTTTCCCTTCCTGCTGCTACAAGCCTCGGGGAGGGCATTGCTAAGGGGCTTCCTCTTCTTATAAGCTCGCCAGATGGTGACCACCTCTTGCCAGTCGGGGTCATACTCTAGCTGCGACATGCACATCAGATCTCCTAGCCTAGTATCCTTGAGAGCCCCCCGCAGCCAACTCTTGATGACGTTCTGGCGGGAGAACCCGCGCTCGCACTCGACAGTGCACAACGGAAGGACAGCCACCGCCACCCACAAGTTGACCAGGTTGGGGTAGCTGTCCCTCCAGTCCTGCGTCTTTAGCATGGCGCTCAGCCCCGCGTGGAATGACCTGTCCGCCTTGGGAAGCGCAGCAAGGACGGGAACGAAGTTGCGGAGCTCGCTCTGGGCTTTGCGCTTGTTTATACCTGATCAGACAAGGGCATACAACACAAGGAAACGGAGAAGGGTTGGGTTATCTGAATAACTACACAGGGTTTACGAAAAGACATGTGTCTTGTTTCATATACACTGCGAGAGGGATACTGAAAGGAGTAAACCATTTTACCTGGCAGAATTTCGTCCCTGTCTTCAGCGCGGTAGATGACCACGAGCGAATTGAACCACTCGAGGCACTGCGTCCTCCGTGCGTGTCGGTCCCAGTTGGGCGGCCATGTGTCGACGCTGAACAGGCGCGCTCCCGACAGCTGCCGCAGATCGCCTAGGCGCTCGTCGAGGTTGCGGACTTGGCCCTCCGCTAGAGCCATGCACGCCACGACACTCCTATCGTGGTCGCTGGGCCCCGGGTAGTCCTCTTGGGGCTCTTCGTGCAGCTCGAAGGTGAACCGTGAAGGTCGGCCATCGGAGTCAATCCCCTCCACTGTCACTAGCTTGGACTTGCCGGGCCCGTGCTTGGCGAGGAACCGCGTCAATCGATCGTTGGGCCCGCCGGTGAAGTCGTCTCTGCAGTCCACGTAGCGGCTCTCTAGCAGCGAGGTCGTGCGGATGATCTGCGCGTGCACCGTTGTGTAGTCCAGCTGGTGGGTAGGGGGGCGAGGAAAGCTAGGGCATCACAGAGGGATGTGTGGTTAAGGGAGGAGCGGCAGAGACGAGCAATATCGACATGCATGCAAACACAAGCATTAAACATATTTACCTCCCGTTGTTGAAAGACCTTGTTGAGCACGTTCAGCAGCTCGAGCACGTCGGCGAGGAACACCAGGAGGAGCCAGAAGCGGTAACTGGTGACGAGCGCGTACAGCTTGGCGTCGTACTCCTGCAACATGACTACGATGGCTGGTAGGACCTCGACTAGGCGGATGACAGCATCTCCGCGCGACAGCCAGCGGATGTTGTGGATGCCCTGGAGCTCGAGGTTCGTCGACATGAACACCTCCTGGAGCTCCAAGAACCATTGATGCCAAGGGTTGGAGCGACCGAGCAGCTCAGCGATCTCGCGAATGATGTTGTCTACCATGCTGAAGACAGGGATCTCCTCAGCAGCAGCCTTTGCCGCCAGCGCCTCTGTGCGTGGGATAAGGGGATGAGATGCAAATTAGGAAGCAAATTAGCGATTGGAATTATAAACAAAACAAGCAAATAGACATGACATGCACACAGCAAACGGTTGACGAACCGATGGGCAATGCAATGGCAAGAGACAAGGTGCGGAACGCGAAGACGAAGGCGGGCCACAAGTCCAGAGCGCGCTCCCATCATGACGGCAGCGCCGTCAGTGCTAATGCCAGATATGCGGCCGAGGTCGACGCCAATCGCCTGCAGATGGGACAACAAGAGGGCGAGTAGCGATGCCGCATCTGCCTTCTCCACCGTCAACAGAGTCAGGTACTCGGTTACAAGCCGCCCTTCCCTGATGAATGTGGCAAACACGATCATGTGCTTGCCACGGCAGCGATCGGTGCTTTCGTCGAGGCTCAGGCCAATGTAGGGACTCGCCAGTAGGTGTTGGAGTTGAGTCGTCTGCAGCCACGTGGCCGTCGCTTGTGTCAGTTCGCCGAAGCCGTACCTGTTACATGACACGCACGTGCAAGTTGTTGTAAGTTTCATATCTAAAGACGAAACATAGCGAAGTTCATAGTCACTGGAGTTCTCACCAGTTATAGTACGTGCCGTAGGCAGACTTCGGGAAGCCCTTGAAACTGCGCGATGAGAGGTATCGCACCAAACGAATCCAAGTTTCCATGGGTTCGTTACACTTGGCGCAGAAGTAGAGGGAGTCGAGCAGCGCGATGACTCGCTCCTTCTCTTCGTCGGCCGCGCGGGGATGCAGGTCGATCCGCTGCTGGTTAGACGCCTGTTGTAGGAGATCGTCATGCTTGGACATGGCGAGGCGATGCTTCTGCGTTCCGGCGTGCTTCTTGAACGACTGTGTCTGCACGTCCTTTGCTCCCTTGCCTGATTTGCCGGTACGCCCTGCAGGTCCTGCATGCACTGCGCATACATTACACTTGAAGGCCGGGAGCCCATCATCAGTTTTCAAAAGCATGAGCCAAGGGAATCTGTCAGACCAGCGAGATTTGAAACGCTCTTGTGCTTCAGCATAGATGTCCTCGTTCGTTCTAGCAGTGCTGGCATGTCGACGTTGAGGCGTACGGCAGAATCACCTGCCTGTACCGGAACCTCTTCGCTGCCGTCACCGACGGCGTCGTGCCGGCGACAGGAGCTGAAGCAGTGGGCAGGGGGCTTGCATCCGCAGACTTCTTGCCCGCTGCATCGGGAACAAGTGCATCGCCATCAGCAGGGGCAGCGTCACCAGGCTTCCTCTGAGGGCTACGATCTGAAGCATCCGAATGCCGCACGAACTTTAGTGCGGCCGGACAATCGCGGAAATTCTCGGCACACTAGTACTCTTCGTCTTGTTCGTCATAATCTGCCTCGTCTACGTCCTCATCGAGGTCGACCTGCTCCATGGCCTGCAGGGGCGCGGTGGGAAAACAAACGCACTGAAAGAAAACCGAGGGGCTATATGAAGCTTGGCTGAAGTTTTGTTGGAGGGGGGAGAAGCAGGGTCATTTTCCCCGTCAGTAAAGAACTGATGGAGAAGGAGGGGGTCTGCCAGCTGCAACTCCATCGCAGCGCGCGAGATGCTGTCCATGCATGAATGAACCAGGCACTCGTCGCGTCAGCATGGGTGCGGTGACTCATCTACTGTGCCTCACCCAGCAAAATGCCTCAGGATTGGCGAAAACAACCGTGTTTTGGTCAAGGACCAATCGGCTGCTCGGGCTATCTCTGTGCTGGCGCCATCGCACAAAATTTGCCCGCCCGACGGCTCGGGCCGCGCCAGCGCAAATGTAATTCTGGCGTGATTGACGGTGACGACAGAGGTACCAACGCAAATCTCGCAACCCCCCCTAAAATGACGGTATTACAGGAATCAGAGTCCCCCCCCCATACAAGGATGAAGCATCAGAGTACACTTGTCAAAGAAGTCTGAAAAAACAGTGTAGGTACATAAAACTTCTCTGAAAAATCCGAGTAACATAGAAAAAAATATATTTGGAATCAGAGTACACCCCCAAAAAAAGTCTGAAAAAAGTCGGAATCAGAGTAAAAAGTCTGCAATTTGGGGGCCTGATACTAGCATAAGTTTTTTTTTTTTGTCTTTTCTATACAATCAGGCCCTGAGATTTAAGGAATTTTCTCCTGATTTTGCTGATTTTCAGGGTGTTTTGATGGACTGACCCTGAATTTTCAGCCTAGGGGGGGGGGTCGACCCTGATTTTTCAGAGTCGTTTCATGTTATGACATTGATTTTTCAGAGTGTGATTGTGGGTCGACACTGATGCTTCAGTGCCATATCGCGTATGCACCCTTAAACAAGATCTTCCGAAATCATTAGAAATTCCCCTGCCAATGGCAAGAGTGCCCCCCCTCCCCTCCCCCCTGGCCCTTAGCCAAGATCAGTGCCCGATACTTGTTGGAGGATGTGTGAGGGCGCTAACTGGCCCT